TTGCCTTGGGATACCCTACCAGGGACATATAGCCCCCAACAACATAGCTCCTAGGATCACTCGGGTACTCAAACCCCTCCACCACAATAAGGTGGCGGTTCAAGGACGGGAAAATAAGTTTCATTTGAAGTTAATTCTTGATCATCGTAAAGCTAACACTGAATTATTAGAATGCTATCTTATATTTATATGAATATAAATCTTGTAACCAGGCCTCGACTTTAAAGTAACATATAATAGGTTATTTTTACTTGACTTGAAAGTATAATAGAATATTTACTGAAACTAAACTTCATAGCTGTGCTCAAAACACAAAGTTGAATCTTTGTTATAAATCGTGATAATGTTGCTTGTGGTAATTTTATCCAAAACATAATATGTAGGCCTAGTAAGATGTCATATTTAATTCAGCTGATGATTAAACCTCTCCTCAAGCCGTCCCAGGTAGGCTAGTGGTTAAGGCACAGCGCTCTCGCCGCTGCGGCCCAAGATTGAATCAGAATTATGCCAGGAAGGACATCCGACGTAAAACATGTGCCAGATGTCAACATGCGAGTCGTCAGTGTGACGATTCACTGTGGCGATCCCCAAACGGGAAAAGCCGAAAGTGACTTTCTTATTAAACCTCTGCTCAAAAATCTTGGTCTTAACCCAGGTGCTAATTATAGACCAATATCCAATCTCCCGTTTATTTCTAAAATCGTTGAAAAAGCTGCTGCTAAGCAGTTATGTGACCACTTGCACAAGAATGATTTGTTTGAGGATTTTCAGTCAGGATTTAGAGTCCATCATAGTACAGAAACTGCATTGGTGAAAGTCACCAATGATCTTCTCCTAGCCTCGGACAAAGGACTTGTCTCCATACTTGTCCTCCTAGATCTCAGTGCTGCTTTTGACACCATTGATCACAGCATCTTACTGCAGAGACTTGAACATGTTATTGGGATTAAAGGAACTGCACTAAGTTGGTTCAAATCTTATTTATCAGAAAGATTTCAATTTATTCATGTTAATGACGAATGTTCTACACAAACTGAAGTTAGTCACGGTGTTCCACAGGGCTCTGTGTTAGGTCCAATTCTCTTCACTTTATACATGCTCCCTTTAGGCAATATTATCAGGAAGCACAGCATAAATTTCCAATGTTATGCAGATGATACTCAGTTATATTTATCTATGAAGCAAAATGAATCAGATCAGCTGGTCAAACTTCAAGCATGTCTTAAAGACATAAAGGCCTGGATGAGGCCTGGTGCAACTTCTTACTTCTAAACTCTGACAAAACTGAAGTCATTGTGCTTGGGCCTGAAAATCTTAGAAATCTGCTGTGTAATCATATTATACTATTATATTATCATACTTTAGATGACATAGCTCTCGCCTGCAGTACTACTGTGAGGAACCTTGGAGTCATCTTTGATCAGAATATGTCCTTTAAATCACAAATAAACCAAGTCTCTAGATCTGCCTTCTTTCACCTGCCCAATATTGCAAAAATCAGGAGCATCCTGTCTCAAAGTGATGCTGAAAAACTGGTCCATGCATTTGTTACTTCCAGGCTGGACTACTGTAACTCTTTACTATAAGTATATCCCAATAATTCCCTAAAAAGCCTCCAGCTAATCCAAAATGCTGCAGCCAGAGTAATGTTAATGACAAGGCTCCATCGTATCTTAAAGACCTCGTAGAGCCTTATCATCCTAACAGAGCACTTTGCTCTCAGAGTGCAGGTTTACTTGTGGTTCCTAGAGTCCACAGAACCAGAATGGGAGGCAGAGCCTTTAACTATCAAGCTCCTCTCCTATGAAACCAACTCCCAGTCTCAGTTCGGGAGGCGGACACCCTTTCTACCTTTAAGATTGGACTTAAGACGTTCCTTTTTGATAAAGCTTATAGTTCGGGCTGGGTGACCCTGAGCCCTCCCTTTGTTATGCTGCTATAGGCCTAGGCTGCTGGGGGGCCCCATGATGC